TTATAATCATAATAACACAAATGATGGGGAGGTTGGCAAAACTTTACTTTTTTGGGTTTCTGATATTATATGTGAAGTAGTTTTAACATAGGCCATGATAAATTAAAGAGGCACATTTTAAACTCTGGAACAACATGGGTTAAAAATAAAACAAATAAAAAATAACAAAACAATAAAAACTAAAGAGATATAACTAATAAGCTAAGAGGGGAGAGAAAATTGAATAATTAAAGAAAAATTTCAACTACTTTAAATGAATTAGAAGAGAAAAAGAAAAATCAGTTGAGAATACTAGAACACAATTACCAAGAGTGTACCTTTATGTCAAATCATATCAACGATTAAATGAAATTTTATAGTTAAAAACTTCATTTAGTAGCCAAAAACTGTCAGATTGGATAAAAAGCAAGATCCAACTATATGCTGTATTAGAAGACATGTGCTGACATAAATAAGTTCAAAATAAAAGAACCATAAAAGATATTCCATGTTAATAGTAATCAAAAGAAATTGGGAGTGGCTATAATAACATCAGACAAGGTAGACTACAGAGAAAGGAATAGTATAGATATGAGAAGAATACTGCATAACTATAAAAGGATAAATTTTTCAAGACGAACTAAAAATTTTCAAAATACTTGAAGCATTTGGTTTGGTTCCAAGTCTTTGCTATTGTAAATAGTGCTGCAATAAACATATGTGTGTATGCCTCTTTATAGTAGAATGATTTAAATCCTTTGGCTATATACCCAGTAATGGGATTTCTGGGTCACATGGCATTTCTGGTTCTAGATCCTTGAGGAATCACCACACTGTCTTCCACAATGGTTGAACTAATTTACACTCTCATCAACAGAATAAAAACATCCCTGCTTCTCCACATCTTCACCAGCATCTGTTGTTTCCAGACTTTGTAATGATTGTCATTCTAACCAGTATGAGATGGTATCTCACTGTGGTTTTGATCTGCATTTCTCTAATGATCAGTGATGATGAGCTTTTTTTCATATGTTTGTTGGCTGCATGGATGTCTTCTTTTGAGAAGTGTCTGTTCATATCCTTTGCCCACTTTTTAATGGAGTTGTTTGCAAAATTTTTTTCCCATTCTGTATGTCTCCTGTTCACTCTGATGATAGTTTCTTTTGCTGAGCAGAAGCTCTTTAATTAAATAGATTGGATAAAGAAAATGTGGCACATATACACCAGGGAATATTATGCAACCATATAAAAGAATGAGTTCATGTCCTTTGCAGGGACATGGATGAAACTAGAAACCATCATCCTCAGCAAACTAACACAGGAACAGAAAACCAAACACTGCATGTTCTCATTCATAATTGAGAGTTGAACAATGAGAACATGTGGACATAGGGAGAGAAACATCACACATGGGAGCCTGTTGTGGGGCTGGGGAAAAGGAGAGGGGGAGGATTAGGACAAATAAATAAGGCATGCAAGGCTTAAAACCTAGATGATAGGTTGATAGGCGCAGCAAACCACCATGGCACATGTATACCTATGTAACAAACCTGTACATTCAGAACATTTATCCCAGAATATAAAGTAAAATAAAAAAATACATAAAGCAAAATCTGAGAATTTAAAAGTGATACAGACAAATTCATAATTATACTTTGCTATTTTAATATTTCTTTATAACTGATAGAATAAGGAGACACAAAATCAGTTTAGAACACTTGAAAAACTCTAAAACGACTTGACCTAATCAATATTTATTGAACATTCCATTAACAACAGAATACATATAGAACATTCATCAAAGAGACATGTCTTAATAAACTGAAGAGATTTGAAATAATACTATGTATATTACCTGTTTACAGTAAAGTTACCCTAGAAATCACTACCAGAGAAACCTCTGAAAAAAACCAAAATATGTGGAAACTAAGTAACATACTTCTAAGTATGTCATGGATTAAAAAAGAAATCAAAGGGGAAATTTAAAGGGACTCTGAAAGGAATGAATATAAAAACACAATATACCAAAATTTGTAGGATGCAGCTAAATCAGCGCTTAAAGGGACATTCATAGCATTAAATGCTTATATTAGAAAACAAAGAATTCTCAAATCAATGATGTAAGCTTTCCTCTTAAGAAACTAGAAAAGATGAGCAATTAAACCAAAAGTAAGTAAGCATAAAGAAATAATAATAGTAGAAATTGATTAAGTAGTAAATACCAATTGGATAATACAGTCAATCACCCAAAGCTCTGCTCAGTGGGAGAGAAAATTATGATTTTCTCATTATTGTCTTTCAGAGTAACCTCTGAGTGGGACTATCATCCATCACTCTGCCCAACCACCATTTGAGAACCAAACTTAACCACTTTCCTCCTCCACCAACTAAATGTAAGAATTATTCTCCCAGTGTGGTCACAGGTGTGAGCTGACAGAAAGGCAGTCACAACAAAACTGGTCAATTACATGGAATTATGGCGTACGTCTCCATGTGGCTTATTTGTGCCCTCCAGCCCTGTTCCTACTCAGCACCAGATACACCAATATTGGTTTACAAAGGATTGCTGCTAGACATTCCTAATACTATGAATTTATGGGATTGACAAAATCCAGCTCATGATGAAAAATTTTAGCCACTTTTTCACTTGACATCCTATGGTTAGATGCTCCATTTTTATGAGAGTATTTTACATCAAGAGCTGTCTTTTGAATTATGTATAATTCTCTGCTGCATATGGCATGGCCTCATGCCAGAACTCTAGCTGTCTATGTTATGATTTTCCCACTGAGATTTGTCATAAACTCCACACAGCTTCTTTTTCCACCATAAATATTTCCAATTCCCTAGGATTTGCCAAGTCCTATGGTTTAAGAAGTAGGGCTGCTTGCACCACAGCATGGACCTGCTGCAAAGCCTTCCTGCTCTGGACCCTACTCAAAACTGGCAGCTTTTTATGTCATCCAGTATATGAATCAAAGCCATATTGCTAAACGTAAAAAGCACTCTGCCTCCAGAACTAGAGGAGGCTTACTAGGGATGGCACTTTCTTATTAGTAGCAGAAAATTTAAGATGTAACAATTTATCCTTTATAATAAAGAGAAATTTCCACCATACCTTCGACACAAGCTACCAAAACTTCACTGATGGGGTGGACTCATATTTATATGGAGTATCTCCCACACTTTGGTATTCATGTGTTTTTATTTCTTACCAAGGCTCAATGTCCGGTGGTCAGGAGAGAAAGTGGAGGTAGGTCTTGAAGTGGGAATGACAGACCTTAATAGTGGGGAGTAGGCTACTTTTGCAGGCCCAGAGGGTTCAGAGGTACTGGGCTTGCAAGATTATTGAATGCATTGACCAAATGTCTCATCCAAAGCCTCAGGGCTCCACTCCTTTCTATCAGGGTCCTCACCTTTGTGGGATCTCCCCAGAAACATTGCTGGGCCTGGAAATTCAAAATTCTCTGGAGTTCTTATAATTTCTTATTTATTTATATTTATAAGATATAAGTTATCTTATAATTAAATTCTAGGACCAATCTTTATGTATTCCACTCTCCAGCACCAGAAGAGGATTTTTAATTGTTGCTCTGGAAGTCCTCTACATTTTCAGACTTTTGCCTTGCATTGGTGGTTAACCACCTCAGTCTTCCATCGTCTTTCTCCACCGCATACATTGTACCCAGCAACAGCCATCTAATCCCATTGTCCTTTTTCATTACTATTCCCTTTGAACTTCTCAAATGCCTGAGATATTGAGTCCACCAATGCATTTCCTTACTCCCACACTCCATCTCAGTTTACCACTAGCGAAAGCTGTAATATTTGCACCACTACTGCATGCCGCAGCTTCCGGAACTCTGCCTATAACAATGGGTTCTCATTGATAGCTAGGAAGTGACCCATCTCCCAAGTTTGGTTTTAGAGTCTGCCTCCATTGACCAATCCTCACACTAACTTTTCTAGTTCAGGTTCCCTGAAAACACTGTTATGGATAGAAATCTGAATGTGGGAAATGCATGTTTTCAGGAACTACACTTGTAAGTGAATAAGGATTGGGCAGAGGGAGAAGATAAACTATCATAGAGTCACAACAGAGACCTCAATCAGTAACGAGGAGTGTTCTGAAGCTGGGGTGGCCCTTCATAGATCTCCTGGGACAAGGGGGGAAGGCTTTTGTGCCTCCACAATAGCCAGTCTTTGAACATGGGCTGTTTCCAGGGAGGAAGCATAACCTTGGGTGAGGCTGCTCAGGGAACTCCTTTCCACAAAGGGCAATTCCCCTGTGAGCTATTAGCAGGCAACTTGGAAACTCTTAAAACGAACGCCTCAGTCTCAAAGGAAGGGGGTGATTTGGGTAGGCCTCCACAGCACCCACCACAATATCCAAATGCCTGGAAATGCCTAAAGCACATAATTATAGGTCTAAGACCTCAACTCTGAAAGCACAAACAGTTCTGCCTAACTGAAAAAACAACTAAACTTAGACACATTAGATTGGTGTAAGGCAGTAAATCAAGCAACTGGACAGGGAGATGAGAGTTAAATTGTTAAGTTAATTCAGATTCGGGGAGTAATAAAGCCAAAATCAGGTGCGCAGATGAACAGGGGGGCCCCTTGATTCACTGACTGGCATTACTTCACTGAACTAAAAAGGTGTTTCTTTTCTCCAGTCATTTGCTTGACTATTCTATCAAATAAATCTGTTATATTCTATCTCCTGAATATAACCTAAGTATCTTCTGGGTGTCCTAAGAAAGCTATAAAAAATGGAACAATATTAGCATAATAAATTCTGTTTTACAACTTTCACTCTGTTTTGTTGCTTGTTCGTCCTGAGTTCCCTGAAGTAGTCTTGTAATTATTTCTAGAAAGTTCCAGAACAGTCTCATATATTGATCTAGTCAATCAACAGGCCTACCTGCCATGCTTTTACTTTACTTTTTAGTCCTTTCTGGTATGGCCTATGGCCAAGCCCCACAATGCTTCTGAAAACCAGTTAAATATTAATAACTTACCATTACTCCTGTGGTCCATCATGGTGTAGCTTTTGCTGTTCCACTGCCCCACTGGGTACCTGTGATGCATGCACTAGAGATGGCAGTCTGGTTCCTTGTAGAAGTAGAAACAAGGTGTTTCCCCATTTTGTGTCCCTACATGATTGGAATAAAAGCAGTATTACTTTTGTATCCATGCATCTTAGAGTGAACACTGCTTTCCCTTCTCTTTCAGCCCATGGTCCCTCTTGACCAATGAGAGGCCATTCACTGTAACTTAGAAAATAATAAACTCTAGCCGGGCATGGTAGCAGCATGCCTGTAATCTCAGTTACCTGGTGAGGCAGGAGAATCATTTGAACCCGGGAGGTAGAGGTTGCAGTGAGCCGAGACTGTGCCTCTGCACTCCAGGCTGAGGGCAAGACTTCGTTACAAACAAACAAACAATAAACTCTAGGACCAATCCTGTGTTGCCTTCCCTTCTTTCTCTATCTCTATGTGGTGGGCAAAATAATGGAGCCCAAAGATTTCCATATCCTAAACCCTAGAATCTGTAAATATGTATGTTACATGGGAGGGAGGATTTAAGTTTGCAGATGAAATTAAGGTTACTGATCAGCTGACCTTAAATTGGGATTATCCACGATTATCTAGATAGGCCAGTAAACATGAATGAGGAGGCAGAAGAGGCATAGTCAGAGAAGGAAATGTGAGGATGAACACAGAGATTGGACTGAAAAAAAAAAATGCCCTCTTTGCAGATGGAAGGGGGCCATAAGCCAAAGAATGAGGGCAGCATCTAGAAGCTGGAAAAGGCAAAGGGAAAAAATCCCTCCTAGAGCTTCCAGGGGAACAGAGCATTGCCAAATACCTTGGCTTTACCCATGTCAGACCCATTTCAGACTGTTGACTTCAGAACTATAAGATCAATTTGGGCCGGGCGCGGTGGCTCAAGCCTGTAATCCCAGCACTTTGGGAGGCCGGGGCAGGTGGATCAAGAGGTCAACAGATCGAGACCATGCTGGTCAACATGGTGAAACCCCGTCTCTACTAAAAATACAAAAAATTAGCTGGGCATGGTGGCGCGTGCCTGTAATCCCAACCACTCAGGAGGCTGAGGCAGGAGAATTGCCTGAACCCAGGAGGCGGAGGTTGCGGTGAGCCGAGATCGCGCCATTGCACCCCAGCCTGGGTAACAAGAACGAAACTCCGTCTCAAAAAAAAAAAAAAGATCACTTTGTTTTAAGCCAACAAGTTCATGTGATTTGTTATGTTAGCAATAACATACTCTGACTCCAACTCTTAACTATTCCTATCAACAACATCCTCAGGCAAATCGATGCCTGCTAATGGTTGTGGTGAGCCCACCCCACTAGCCTGCCTAATGTGTCCAGACTGCTGAGTTCCCCCCATCTTCAAGGGAAATAGGTCCCCATCTTGTGAGAGTTCTGTCTTTTTACTAATCCACATCTCCATTACCATCAAATAAGCCGATGGAAGAGGTAGGGCCTGGAAGATTCATGTGTTAAAATTACTCTAGGTAAAATCCTTCTGATATAAAACAAATCTTCAGAGGTAAAGATTGGGGAGTTGAATAAACTGTACAATTATGTAAATTTTTTGGTACAATATGTGTGACAATAGGAACTAAAAGTTAAGGAAAAAAAAAAAAAAAAACAGTCCAGTGATTGAATGTATATAGGAGCAGAAAATCGTTTCTTATGGAATTTTCTAACCCAAGAATCTGTAACTTATTTTTTGCATTTATGTTTAACATGACAAGGCAAGTTCTCAAAACCACATGGTAGATGGCTTGCTAAGTCACTAGGTAAAGGTATATATCATATATATCAGAAAAGCAGCTATGAAAATGCTTGATGATGAGAGGCTAAAGAATTAAGAGAAAGAAACCACTAATTTGAATAACATAGTAAAGAAAAGTAAGTTGACTTTTCTTTTTTAAATGTACACAGGATCTCAAAATAAAAGAAACACGTTGGAAAACACTTCTTATATTTGCTGAATCTTTTCATTAGTAAATTATTTGATGTCAACCCACAGAACTGTTCACATGCAGAACAAAAAAGACAAAACAAGTAAAACATTTTGAATTTTAAAAATTGCTCTTTTGTTTCAGTAAATATTTGTTGATTAAATTGTTTTTGCCTTTATAAGCCTATATTATGTGTGGTTTTCACTAAATAAATCAATGCAAATATTTTGTGAGGGCCTATACTTCTAAACAGCACAGATTTTAATCTAGCTTCTGGTTTGTTCTAAGCTGTATTTTTCAAACTTCAGCAATTCAAATACTACCTTTATGATTTTTGTCATATCTGCATAAGATTGTAGTAGCACTAATATTTTACTTAAGGAAATTAACTTTGTTTACTTAAATTTATGTTGAAGGAAAAGTATATATTACTAACAGAAATGAAAAAAAGTATCACTTGCTGGAAGTAGAGAGCATTGACAAATAAAACTGGAATAAAAATAACCAAAACATTTGCCCGTTGGAGTTTTGAGCTTGAGGATTGTTCTTTTTGTTGTTGTTAAAGTGGGTAATTAGCAGGCACTGAAGGTGCGAAAGACATACAATCCTTAGCTAATACTTGTTTCCCTTTAAGTTGACCAGAAGGATTGAAAGAAAGGTAAAAAGGAAATATTATCACTATGTGATTCAATGTACTTTATTATCATGTCTGAATGCTAAATAAAATGGCTTGGGAACATCAGGGATTTTGAAAATACCATTTAAAACCATTTAATTTTGCTTTCTGAATTGGTTTGTGCCATTGTCACCTATCACTGCTACTATGCTGCATAGACTTTTTCTCTATCTGAGAGAAAGATCTTTATCAAGCACCTATCTTTTACTACTTCAGAAGGCTCATATCTCTGCATTTAATTTCTAGCCCCATGTGTGCCATCTAATACAAGGCAACTCAACTCCAGTTCTTTGTCTTCTGACAAGACTGCCAGGATAAATTCAAGCTATGGCAGCAGTCATATATGAGGAATCACTATAGTCTTCCTACTGGCACATGCCATCATTTTTTTATCCAATTCTGTTCTGGTCTTTTTAACTAACTCTAGCTTGCCCATACAAACTCAAAGTGGGCACTCAGGCATTACTAGTCTAGGATTCACTTGGAACCACTCATACTTGTCTACTCTAGTTTCTTGCTACTCCAACTGTAGTCCAGTTGGACTGGAAGCATTGCATTACCTGGGAGTTTGCTAGAAATGTAGATTCTCAGTTTCTCCCACAGTCCTACTAAATCCGAATCTGTATTTTAAGAAGATCCCTCCCGCTCCCTTGGTGATTTTTATGCATGTTGAAGTCTGACAGGCACTGGTCAGCCTTCTCCATTTCCACTTCTCTGTATATCCTGGTTTGTCAGCTACTTCTCTCTACAGGCCTCTCCTTACCCTTGGACTTCTCTACCTCTTACTCAATGGTCCTCAAACTTGGTTGCATGCTGGAATCATCTGATGAGTTTTGTTTTAAAATTGTGATTGCTGTTCTCCACCTCCAGATTGTTTTTAATTATAAGTAGTGCCTAAATTTTAATTGCCCAGGTGATTCTAATGTGATGTCAATATTGCTATATATTGAATGAATGGTGGTTTGGACTCCTGGCACTGGGTGTCTGGCTCCACAAACCATTCTAGTAGTAGGGTGCATCTACCTTGACGTAACAAGTTAGGCCCAGTTGAACTTCTCTTGATGTTCTATATTAAGGACAAATAATTGATCGATTTCCTCCTCCAGTCTATGGGCAGAAACTCATATGGCTAATGCAGCAACAGTAGCAACATTATGCTTTTTCACTGCTCATCAAAACCAACTCTATCATTGTAAGAATATAAGTTTCAGTCTTAACAGATTTAATATCTGTTTAGGGTTCATTCTCTGTCTAAAAAATAATTTTAGCCACATAAATGATATAGCTTTTATAGAAACTGTAGACCTCAAGCCAAAAGGAAAGAATTTTGTCATTGTAAATTTTAGACCTATCCATAATGTGCTCATATAACCTAACAGTGGGAAAAAATCTGTTTAGGAACAAACAAGGGAGTTTGTTTTAGAACAATGTGCTTCATACAAACCTCATTTCAGTAACTCCTAATAACCCATCTATGTATTTGTCCCCACTGCAGCTTGGATCTGACTATGTACTCAGATGAATTTGGTCTCCATTGGAAGCCTTTATAAAACATGTGCCACAGAAAGTGTCAGCCATGACCAAATGTCATATATGCTGCTCCTATCTACCTCTACCTCACCCCCAAGAATCTGTTACTCATGTCTCTAGCCAAATTCCAATATCTAGTTGTATAGACCCTTAGCCTTGTGGTTTTTGTCAATTCCTGTTTAGTCCTTCTTCTGAATTCCTTATGCTTTGTTTTACAGATTTTCATCCAGGGCCATTGAATAACAATGATCACTAATTGCTAGATATTGCTAAGGAAATGCTAAATATCCAAATGTCACCCTATTTCCTCTTCACAGTAACCTTACTCTGATTTCACAGATAAGGAATCTGAGACATAGAGAGATTTATGTAACTTTTTGTATTAGTTTTGGCAAATTATGCTGTGGTAACAAATAACCCCAAATTTCAGTTGCCAACAAGACAAGCTCATAATAAATATCATTTGTAGGTCTGTGGTTTGGTCCTGGCACTTTGCACAAGGCACCTTTACTCTGAGATCCAGGCTGAAGGAGTTGACCCTCTCTGCAAAATGCTGTTTTCATAGCAGGGGGAAAAGAACAGTGAAAAAAAAATCATGGATTGATTCTTAAATCTTCTTTTTGGACTTGGTTTTTGTCACCTTTACTCATATTCACTTATCTAAGCCAGTCATATGGCCAAGCCTGAAATTAGTGCCTGCAGTGGGAACTCCTGAACAGAACCTCTGAAGAGATGACTTATTTATAGACAGAGTCTCGCTCTGTTGACCAGGCTGGAGTGCAGTGGTGCAATCTTGGCTCACTGCAACCTCCGCCTCCTGGTTTCAAGTGATACTCCTGCTTCAGCCTACTGAGTAACTGTGACTACAGGCGGACGCCACCATGCCCGGCTAATTTTTGTATTTTTAGTAGAAACAAGGTTTCACTATGTTTGCCAGGATGGTCTCAATCTCCTGACCTTCTGATCCACCTGCCTTGGCCTCCGAAAGTGCCGGGCTAACAGGTGTGAAAAGCTCGTATTTTAAACAAATTATACAAACACAGTTGCTCAGTCTCATAGTCAGAAAAAGGCAAAACTGGGGTTTGAATACAGCTCTAATAACTCTCAGCACTGCAGTGATGCTTCCATTTTGCTTTCTCCACTTGGCTGATTTTGAGTATTTAACACCTAGCATATCAAACTATACAATCCTTACATGCTCCTTCCTGATTTAGCTGTTCTCCCTGTATATAACTTCTGGTCTGAGTGAACTACAATCTTGACAAATATTTCTTCAACATAGCTGAACTGTAGGTTCCTGCTTTCCGATCAGCTTGGTAAGCCTGGGGTAAGTGTGAATCTATTTTCCAGCTCCTGTTCCACATATCAAATAAAGGTACTCCTATCTTCAAAATGATGGATACAGATAGCTTCTTTACTGATGCAGGAAAATTCACAGGGACCAAATTTTAGCAATGTGGCCTTAAACCCTGAAGAACTATATTTAAACTTGGACAAGAAACATTTTATGATGGTTTCCAACCAGAAATGAATCCTTTCTTGTGGTGGTTAAACGTGCTCTACAGGAAGTCTTGTTTATTGCTGATCTCAGGGAAGTGAATTAGTAAGGTTCTGTCAACACACTCGGATCACTTCAGAGTGGGTTAGCCCTCCAAAATCTACCCACTCATGTCATCTTTCACCACTTAAAAAGAGAGGCCACAGATTTAAAACTTCTTGTCTCTTGCCAATGTGAGGCAACTACAGAATCTTCTATGCTTTATTTCCAAACAGAAAATAAAATATACTTTGCTATGAGAAGATCTAGTTTTAATCATGTATTAATGATCATTGTAGGCTGAATTCTTCCCTTGTAGGCTGAATTCTTCCCTTGTAGGCAGTAATTTGGACCCTTTTTAAAAATCAGCATTTGCAAAAGCTATCTTATAACTTAAAAGTAGAGTTCATTTTTCACAGAATGTTATTGGAAAGGAAAATAAATAGGTAGTATAAAACTATCTTTATTACAATCTCTTTGCAAAGTATGACCTCATTGTATTGCCCTTTAAGAAACTGTGTTTACTTTCTTCAGTATACACATCCAACTAGTCTCTGAGGGGTCATTTCTATAGTTAGCAATATACTAAGCTTTATGGTCTATTAGAGACAATGAAAGTAAGACAGAATTGTATAAATAAAAGCTTAATTTATAGAGTTTTAAACTTGAAACAAGGCTTTCTCTCCAACAAAGCAGTTATTTCCATGCTAACTTGCCTCCCAATAAGCTCTGGTGAACGTAGTAGGATTGAATATGTCACAATCATCTCAATATATTGTTTTCATTGGATAGTTGACATATGTGAAATCATGATGAGGCATAAAAAATCACAGTTAATGTTTTTCAATATTCTTTTTTATGCTTTTCAAATGTTTACAAAAAGACATTTTCGGGGCCCCAAAGCTAGAATAAGACTTTTATTAGAATGCAAGAATCATAATGTGGGTGTTCTTCATAGGTGCTTTCTATGAAATTTCATCATGTATTTTTGTGTAAATAAAACAGAGAAAATGAAAACTGGAAAATGTGGTTCTGACCAAAGAATGATCTTCAGTTTCCTCCAAATTTAAGGCTTCATTCTTACCCAATACTTAACAAAAAGCAGTGCCTATTTCAACTTGGTAATCGTGGCTTGACTCCTGTGGCAGCTTTATAATTTTCTGTACAAGTAGCAATCACTGCGGTAGTTTTGACTAAATGACTACCGATAGGCCTTCTCTTGAATGAAATGACAAATATTCACTGAAAAAATTCAAGTAGACACTGTAAACTTGGAAAACTTCTAGGGTTAATGTGCTCCAAATGGCATTATGTGTTGGTAATAGCAATGATCTACAACTCCAACTTTAGAATCTACTTTCTATAGAGGGAAGAAACTGTTTTCTTTGACTAAAAATGATGGAGAGGGGGAGTTTTAAAAAATTTATTGTAAGGAAGCAGTTTAGAGAAGCTTAAAACTTGAGTACTTGTGGAAAGTACGGTGTGTATATGTAGGCTGATATGTATACCAGCACCAGGAAAACCATCTTGAAAAGAGACATAGAAGACCAGGCAATTGTGCCTTCCTCCTTTTCAGTTCCCACCACTCATTCTATTTGTTGTATGACTAAGAACTTGTTTTCTTTGAACAACAACAAGAAAAAATGATTTAGGCATTCAGGAAAACATCACAAATCGTATTTTAATTTCTATGATCTAATTGCTAAGACAATTGTATCCCTAAAGAATAATACTCTGTGCATTAGCTATATCATCTTCATTTCAGTTTTTCATCCTTGCATGATGAGACACCAGCGGGGCAGATTCAAAATAATCAAGCATAAAGAAGCTGCAGCCTACTTCCAAAATACATATTTACAATTTAAAAATAAACAAAACGTAACTTTTGCAATTACTAGGTTTCAGATATATACTCTATGTTTTACTTGGAAAAACAACAGAATTCTTCAAATATCTACATATTGGGTGGTTCTAGAGACTTCTGTTTATTTATTTTCAGTTGACAAATTAATATTGTATATATTTACTGTATAATATATAACAACATGAGGTTTTGGTATATGTACATACATTGGAGAATGACTAAATCAAGCTAATTGTTCTAGACAGACTTTTGATCTTAGCAAATCCTAAAATGATGCTGATTGTAGATTAAGAGTTCAAAGGAATGCAGTGCATGGGAAATTAATTTATGCCAGTGATATTGAAACAAATTATTTGCCTTTGAAGTTTGGGGGCTTTACTAATACAAAGATAAAATATAGCGGTTACTACCTTATTTGTACACCATAGAATAAACATTCACTTTGGGTTGGATGTAAAGAGTTTTTTGCACTAAAGCATAATCACATTGGAAATTTATATAATGATACTCTATCAACAATTAAAAAAAATTAAGTCAACAAATTTTAGAAAACAAGCATTGGAGGACACAAGTTTTCACTTTGCTGTTAACTGGCTGTATGATTTAAGTGTTGATTTCAGGTGAACAAACCTACCTCAGTTTTATTTCCAATCTATAATGGAAGTTAGTTAATTCTAGAAATAATTTGGATTTTGTTACTGCAAGTCCTGTGGAGGCATAGTTAGGAATTAAACAGAGGCCTAAAATCGCCATAAAAATAGAGTGTGTTAAGTCAGCTAATTAAGAATAAATGGGAGATTTTCAGTATATCTTTCTTTAATGGCAGCAAGAAAGGCAAGGTAAAGAGTGTAGAAGGCAAGGTAGGATTGGCAAGGGTCTAGTCTAATATGGGAAGAAAAGAGAAGAGCTTCTCACAGATGTCACCATAGTCTTAAAGGAATGTCAGCTGAAGAATTTATTGTAGACAACATCCTTTTTTCCCTAACATTGTCACTCTGAGAGCATGTGGCATCCAGCAGAGGACATTGTCACTCTGAGAGCATGTGGCATCCAGCAGAGGACATTGTCACTCTGAGAGCACATGGCATCCAGCAGAGGAGAGAGTGCCAAAACTGCACGTTCACACTGATATAACCCTTGGAGTTTACAAACCATGCCCTCATGTTAGCCTACTGTTTCTTTTCAGTATTTTAATGGCTGAGGCAGGGAATGAATGCAGTGGTTAAGCACATGGACTTTAGAGTCAGACAGTCTTGGGTTCAAATACTGTTCCATCCTCTTATCTGAACTTACTCTGGACAGTCCATTCCTTTAACAAAGATGTGTTGAATCTGCTATGCTGTGCACTGAGAATATAGAAGACAGGCAATAAATAAGTAAATGATGATTTTAGATTGATAAGGGCTCTCAAAAATCAAATATGGCTATGAAAAAGAGTAATAAAGCCTGGCTAAATGGGATGGGGTTTCAGGAAAAGCTAAGGAGGCAGCATTTGAGCTAAGATAGATGAGAAGATGGGGCCAGCCATGAAAGATCGATTGGAAGAATGCTCCCAGAAGAAAAAAACTGAAAATGCAAATGTCCTGTGGCAGGGAAGTGCTTACCTGGGCCAGGAAAAGCAATTCAGCTAATGCCCCTGAGTGCTGGGAAAGAAGGGGAACAGAGTGTGTGATAAATTCAAAGAGGTAATTAGTGGATAGATCCTGTGGGGCTTATAAGACATAAGAGGACATTTAGATTAGATTTTTCTCTATGCAGTTAAACCACTGCAGGGGTGGGGGTTGCAAAGGGTATGACAGTATTGATGATTTTAGAAGATCACCATTAATATTCCAACAAAGTAGATTGATGAACAGTGAGAGTGGAGGCAAGGATTCCAGTTCTGAGGCTATTTTAGTTTTTGAGTTTCTAGCCCTGGGTTTCACATTTGTAAAACGGGAATAATAATAGGTACATCATAGGGTAGATGTAAAAATTAAATGTGAAAAGATAAATAGGCAAATATGCAACTCTGACAAATAGTGATCATTCAATAAACAGAAGTTGTCATTGCCCCCCATATATATGTAAGAAAACTGACTCTCTTAGAGCTTACATGACATTGTCAAGGTCAGATATCCAAAATCCATAGATGACTGGAGCTTGAATCCAAGTTGTAGAATTGCAAAATTAGTGTAAGTCTACATTCACATAATTAAAAAAGGAGAGAGTTCAATTCAACAATTGCTTTTGAGACATAGAAAGAATGTGCCAGCACTTTCCTAGGATGTGAGGTTGCCAAGGCCTCTTCCAAGAAGGTCAAAGTGTAATAGGAGTGACAGATATGAACATGAACAATTTTGAATGAAAAATGAAAATTATAGAAATAGATGCCTCTCACAGAGAGGATTTTACATAATAAAGAATAGCTAAGTTTTGAGGTGTAATAAATGTTTACCAGAAAGATGCAAGGCATCAAGAACAGCTCAGGAGAGGTCACGGGATGAGAAGCAGCCTGTCACATGTGGCAAACTCTGAGTGATTTAGAATTATTGGTGTAAACAGCATATAAAGGAAGAAGGAGGAGTTGAGGTTGGGAGAAAAGGATCAGGGGTGAAATAATGACCAACAGGAAGGATTACATAGTTGAAAGTAAAAGCTATGACATTTATAGGCTGAAAACGAGTAGGATATGTAGACTGCCAGGGAGAAGGTGGCAATAGTGTCATTAAGTAAGTAGGAATTTACAGAAGTTAAACTTGCTGCCTGATTTATACTGCCTCATATGAGCATGAGCACTCAGAGCACATGGTGTACATAGGTGGAGATGCAAACTTTGCTGGATTAAGTGCCTTATTTATGGTCACTTAGACAGCAAATAAAAGAACCAGGAGGAGAGCCTAGATTGCCTACCTATAGTTCAAGCTCCATCTATTGACTACATTTCCATTATTCCATGTGCTCTATGTAATAGTAAAGATGGTTGAGAAAGAGCTAGAAGCAGAACAAAGCAGAAGAGATGGGTGACAGGACACTGAAGGCACAAAGGAAGATAAAGAGAAGGCAGAAGGAAAAGCAAAGAAATCAGCATCTGTCTAGATAATACTTGGATATAGGTTAAGGTTGGGGAATTGAGAACAGAACAACATAGTGCCTGGAGGACAGTAGAGACACAAAGACTTTAAGAAGTAGGAAAGGAGGGAGGGAGGAAAGGTGAGACATTGGCAAAAAGGAAGAGGGAGAAGGCCTGGGAAAGGACAGGAGAGAAAGGCAGAAGGAGAAGGGAAGATATACTGGCAAACAAGTTATGGGGGAGATTATGGCCAGTGTATTTGGATGACTATGCCTGGAGAAAATGTCTCTCTGAATAGGAAAACAGGGACATGAAACTCTGAGTTGGTAAGCGCCGGTGATAATTCATAGCAGTTACAACAGTGTGGCTGACATGGTTTGGAGCTGGAGAAGACTGGAAGAAATTTTCCTCTCCATTGCTTCCCATCTCTCACAGCACTCAGGAACATTGGCTGAACTCTGTCCTTTCTTGACATGATTGTATTTCGTAAACCTCAAATAAAGACACATAACCTGATTTAAAAATAAAAGAAAAACTTTGCTGCCACTTCCACGTAGAAAAGATAATACAAAAATGTAGCTAGTTGTCATTTTAGAGTATTCTCATGATAATATGACTATAGTAATAAAGAATAGTTGAAATTGGCCGGGCGCAGTAGCTCATGCCTGTAATCCCAGTACTTTGGGAGGCCGAGGTGGGTGGATCACAAGGTCAAGAGATCGAGACCATCCTGGTCAACATGATGAAACCCGTTTCTACTAAAATACAAAAATTAGCTGGGCATGGTGGTGCATGCCTGTAGTAGCTACTAAGGAGGCTGAGGCAGGAGAATTGCTTGAACCCAGGAGGCGGAGGTTGCAGTGAGCCGAGATCACACCATTGCACTCCAGCCTGGGCAACAAGAGCGAAACTCCATCTCAAAAAAAAAAAAAAAAAAAAAATAGTTGAAATTGAGATATCTCAGAAATTCCAAAAAAATGTGGTAATAACAATTAATCCTTTTTGAGTGCCAAGCATTGTCCTAAGAGCTTAAGTCATTCAATACTCTCCACAACTCCGTGAAGTAAATTCTTTCATAAACTCCACATAATAGATAAGAAATCGGTGGCACAATGAGGTTGAGTAACTCCTCAAGGTCATAAAAATAGCAAATGGCAGAACTGGACCTACATTTTGTGGTTTCCAACTACTACATGAAATTCCCAAAGGGCTTCATTACATTTCTTTCAGTTCTGTTTGATGGCAATGTTATCTCAAAGAATTTTGGAACAGAAAGGTTATGAGTTTTACAGGTTCTGTTAATTTAATCTACCATTTAAAATATTTATATATAGGTAAGTTAAACATTATGAACCATTAGATAACTTAGGCAAAGAGATTTGAGATCTTCATAGGGAGCTGACATGAATAGTTCTCACTCCCTCTTTCAAAATGAAAAATATCTTGCCAAACAAAGGTGAAAAGTCCCAAGCCAAACACTAAAGTAGGTAGTATTTCTTTCTGTGTTGCTCTATGAAATATTGGCAGCCAGACATATTTCTCAACCCTAGAAGACATAAATCTTTCCAAGGGAAACCAAATTTCTTTGGTTTATCTGCCAAACTATGACTTCAGCCTTGAATCTCATCTCAGAAAACTCTAAACACACTTTTCCTCCCCTGTGTTTAATTTTAAGCATATCTTCCCTTCCCAAAGAGCATTTTCTTTCTTTTCGGTGGCTGTCTCTCACCCTATCTTATCCTGTGTGCCAACCTGTGAGTGCTGACCTGCTGAGAGATGGGCTGTCTAAGCCAATTCAAGCCCTCTGCACTCCCACCTCATGCCCATGCCCCTCTGTTCTTCTTTCCTCTACTTTATATGTTTTTCTTTTTACTAACAGTCTTGGCTTTCAATTCACATTCCCTTGAAGGTTGATGATTTCACTCCGTAAGTCTTTTTTCCCTGGACCTGCTGCTGTCTCTGTCATCATAGTGCCTGTTGACTTCTTACTTTCTGCCTATATGGCAAAGGATTCACAGGTTTCATTTAAAAATAGTTTTAAATCACTCTTTCAGTAACCAAAGGCTAATTGACTAGATTGACTCTTGAGCAATTAGATTGATATAAATATGCAAACATATCTGAAGCTATATGTGCTTTAGGGTGAAGAGAATTAAGGTTCCTAAATGTGGAAGGGATGATGTTCATACTCCAGAAATTGAGATCAGCATGATACCTCTGTGTATTCACATGAAGGAGACAGTAGGGTGTAGGGAAATACGCACTGGGCTGAGAGACAGGAGATCAGGTCCTAGTCTAAGTTCTGACTCAAGGCAAACCCGCTGTGTGACACTGGGAAGAAAGCTACACCATCATTCACTCTGGGTGTCCTTTTGTTCATGTCAGATAAAGCACCAGACTAGGTAGATTCTAAACCTGCATAAACCTTAGACTCTCTTGAACACTCTGGAGTTTCACAACAGAAATAGAAAGTAGGGCTTCAACAAAGACATACTTAATGAGAACCCTCACAAATAAAGCCCTAGAATCTGAATATATGGTTTTATTTAGCCACCCCAGTCTAGGTTTAAGTACCAGCATCAGGAGACCTTTTGATTTGCTAAATTAGCATGTCCTTCATGTTTCATCAGTATTTCGCAGGCAGGGTGTATTATAAAACAGGAACACTCACTGCTATCCACTAGAATAATGCTTCAGAAATGGCTAGTGCTGAACTGAGCAACAGAGAGAGCCAGAGAACTCTGTCCTTTCTTGACATGATTGTATTTCGTAAACCTCAAATAAAGACACATATTGCTTGTTGCTCTGGACTAGTTTATGAACTTGTTGCTCTGGACTAGTTTATCAGTTGCTTGGATGGTCAAGGATTATCGTACAGCAAGTAACAGCAACAATCCCTCCTCCTATATGATTTTTCTGTCTTAATATACTGTAATCACAATCATTTTCAGGGCTACTCCTAAAAATAGATGCATTACTTTGACGTAACTGTGATATATATTTTATATAGCTATATTATATAGCTCTGATCTGACCAGGTCTACTTTTACCTTAAAGATACTTGTCACATCCTTTCCATGAAGATTATATTCATGGCTCTTGGTGTTTTATTGGTATATGAAAGTGCCATGAGAGGAACCACCTAAAGTTGCCGTTCATAAGAGCCAGGTGAGAACAAGGCCTTTCAGGATCTGGGCATTTGTTGACCTCATTTCTTTACCACCAAGAATCCTTTTCATGTTAAAAAATATATATATGTGATTTTTTGGGGGGTAATTATTTATCTGATTCTTGCATAATTGCCCCACTTTAATTATTGTCTTCCTTTCTTCACATGTTCTTCCATCTATTTCCTTTATCAGCTGATTCTGCCATCATTCCCACAAAAAGCAGTGTATTTTGGCCGGTGGGGTACCAAGAGGCGTGATGCAAGCAGAGGCTTCAAATGTGCTTCCACTCTTATACTTTTCCATAGGAAAAGCCTCTCCCATGTAGCCACCACGATGCTGCCTGGGACCCAGAAGGAATGTGTATGGATAGCACACCTTTCCCATCTGCCCCACATCCTTAAGCAGAGCCACACACCTGGGCCCAGCTTACAACAACAGTTCACCAGCCAAACTGCAGGTGGGAAATAAATTAGCATGATTTAAAGCCATTGAGTTTTGGAGTGGTTTGTTACACTGCAATAACTGATTGATTCCGTTTGTCAGTCAAGGTTTTCTGCCTTTCCCTGGCCAATAGGGAACATGTGATCCAATCTAGGCCAATCAGATCTTTTTCCCAGAATTACAAAAGGCTGATGAAGAATAGAAACTGCCTCATCCCAGCAATCAGCCATTCCCTAAAATATCTATTTATTAGTTCCTGATACATGGATCACTGAGGCTCTCCCTGTACCTGTTCTTCCCATGTTTGTTCAGCAAGCATCCCTCATGCTTTGTCGGTTTTTCATATCTTTCTAATGAAGGTTTCTTATATCACTCCCTTATGTTCTCATGTATATTTATATTCCAAACAATTGTTTTTTATTTAAATTAGAGTCTTTTCTAATGCTTGCAACCATAAAATCTTAACTGTTACTGAGGGCCTCAAAGGGAAGTAAAGGAAGTAAAGGGTATCAAAAGGAAAAGGGTGTCAGTCACACAAATGGGGTGACATATATATGTGTATATATATACATATATATGTATGCATACATATATGTGTGTGTGTGTGTGTGTATACTTACATACCATATTTACTTTATTCACTTGTTGGTTGATGAGCATTTAGGCTGGTTCCATGTTTTTGCAATTGTGAATTGTGAATTGTGCTGCCATAAACATGCATGCAAATGTCCTTTGCATATAATGCCCTTTATTCCTCTTCATAGATAACCAGTAGCAGGGCTGTTGGGTCAAATGGTTGTTCTACAGGAATCTTCATACTGTTTCCCATAGTGGTTATACTAGTTTTACATTCCCACAAGCAGTGTAGGAGTGCTCCCTTTTCACCAAACTCATGTCAATATCCACTATTTTATTATTATTTTTTAATTATGGCCAGTCTGATAGGAGTAAGGTGGCAGTTCACTGTGGTTTTAATTTGCATTTCCCTGAAAATTAGTGATGTTGAGCCCTTTTTCATTTGTTTGTTGACCATTTGTATATCTTCTTTTAATAATTGTTTATTCATGTCCTTTGCCCACTCTTTGATTCTTTGATGGGGTTATTATTTTTTTTCTTGCTGATTTATTTGAGTTCCTTGTAGATTCTGGATATTAGTCTTTTGTCAGGTGCACAGATTGAGACAATATTCTCCTACTTTGTGGGTTGTCTGTTTATTCTTCTATTTTTTTTTTTTTTTTTTTTTTTTTTGCTGTGCAGAAGCTTTTTAATTTAATTATGTCTGATCTACTTATCTTTGTTTTTGTTGCTCTTAGTTTTGGATTCTTGGTCATGAACTCTTTGCCTAAATCAATGTCTAGAAGAGTTTTTCCAATGTTATCTTCCGTAATTTTTGCAGTTTCAGGTCTTAGATTGAAGTCTTTGATCCATCTTGAGTTGATTTTCATATAAGGTAAGGTTTCATTCTTCTACATGTGGGTTGCCAATTATTCCAGCACTATTTGTTAAATAGGGTGTGATTTCCTCATGTTATGCTTTTGTTTGCTTTCTTGAAAGTCAGTTGGTTGTTGGTATTTGGCTTTATTTCTGGGTTTACTATTCTGCTCCATTGTTCTATGTGCCTATATTTTTACCAGTAACATGCTGTTTTGGTAACCAAAGCCCTGTGGTATAGTTTGAAGTTGAGTAATGTGATGCCTCCAAATTTGTTCTTTTTGCTTTGTCTTACTTTGGCTATGTGGGGTCTTCTTTGGTTCCATACAAATTTTAGAATGTTTTTTTCTAGTTCTATAAAGAATGGTGATGATATTTAGATGGGAATAGCATTGACTTTGTAGATGGCTTTTGTCAGTATGGCCATTTTCACAATGTTGATTCTACCCAATCATGAGCATTCAGTGTGTCTATTTCTTGGTATCATCTGTGATTTCTTTCATCAATGTTTTGTAGTTGTTTTTGTATGGATCTTTCACCTCCTTGGTTTTTTTCTTAGTATTTTATTTTTTTTGCAACTGTTGTAAAATGGGCTGAGTTTCTGATTCTATTCTCAGGTTGGTAGTTGTTGGTATATAGCAGTGCTACTAATTTGTGTGCATTAATTTTGTATTCTGAAACTTTACTGAATTCATTTATCAGATCTTGAAGCTTTTTGAATGAGTCTTTAGGGTTTCCTAGGTATATGATCAAATTATTGGCAAACAGTGACAGTTTGACTTTTTCTTTACTGGTCTGGATGCCCTTTATTTCTTTCTCTTGTCTGATTTCTCTGGCAAGGACTTTCAGTACTATTTGAATAGAAGTGGTAAAAGTAGGCATCCTTGTCTTGTTCCAGTTCTCAGGTGGAATGCCTTAAAGTTTTCTCCATTCAGTCAAATGTTGGCTGTGGGTTTGCAATAGATGGCTTTTATTACCAAGATGCATATCCCGTCTATGCCAATTTTGCTGAGGATTTTAATCACACAGGGATGCTGGATTTTGTCAAATGCTTTTTCTGCATCTATTATGATAATCATATGATTTGTCTTTAATTCTGTTTATGTGATGTTTCACATTTATTGACTTATTTTTGTTAATCCAGTCCTGCATCCCTGGTATGAAACCCACTTGATCATGGTGGATTATTTTTTGATATGCTGTTGGATTCAGTTAGCTAGTATTTTGTTGAGGATTTTTACATCTATGTTCATCAGGGATGTTGGTTTGTAGTTTTCTCTTTCTGTTATGCCATTTCCTGATTTTGGAATTAGGGTGATACTGGCTTCATAAAATGATTAAAGGAGGATTCGCTTTTTCTATCTTTTGCAATAGTTTCAGTAATACTGGTACCAATTCTTCCTTGAATGCCTCATAGAATTCAGCTGTGAATCCATCTCATCCTGAAACTTTTTGTTAGCAATTTTTTTTATTACTGTTTCAATCTCGCTACTTGTTATTGGTCTGTCAGAGTTTCTATTTCCACCTAATTTAATCTAAGAGGGTGATATATTTCCAGTAATATATCCATCTCCTTAGATTTTCTAGGTTGTGCATGTAAAGGTGTTCACAGCAGACTTGAATGATCTTTTGTATTTCTATGATATTTGTTATAATGTCTTCCATTTCATTTCTAATTGAGCTTATGTTGATCTTATCTCTTCTTTTCTTGGTTCATCTCACTAATGATCTATTGATTTTGTTTATCTTTTAAAAGAACCAGCTTTTGTTTCATTTTTCTTTTGTATTTTTTTTTGTTTTCTTGTTTAATTTTATTTAGTTCTGCGCTGAACCTTTTTTTCTTTTTTTTTGAGACAGAGTCGCATTCCATCACCAGGTGCCAGGCTAGAGTATAGCGGCATGACCTCAGCTCACTGCAACCTCCGCCTCCCAGGTTCAAGCAATTCTCCTGGCTCAGCCTCCTGAGTAGCTGGGACTACAGGCGCATGTCACCATGCCCAGCTAATATTTTTGTTTTTTTAGTAAGATGGGGTTTCACCATGTTGGCCAGGATGGTCACGATCTCTTGACCTTGTGATTCGCCTACCTTGGCCTCCCAAAGTGTTGGGATTACAAGCGTGAGCCATCATGCCCAGCCTGAACTTTTTTTTCTTCTACTGAGTATGGGTTTGGTTTGTTCTTGTTTCTCCAGCGCCTTGAGGTGTGACCTTAGATTGTCTATTTGTGCTCTTTCAGATTTTTTGATGTAAGCATTTATTACTATGAACTTTCCTCTTAGCAGTGCTTTTGCTGTGTCCCAAGAATAGTGCTCTGTCACTATTCTTGTTCAGTTCAAATACTTTTTAAATTTTCATCTTGATTTCATTGTTACCCAAAGATCATTCAGGATCAGATTATTTATTTTTCATATATTTGTATAATTTTGAGGGTTCCTTTTGGAATTAATTTCCAGTGTCATTCAACTGTGGTCTTAGAAGATAATTGATATAATTTTGATTTTCTTAAGTTTATTGAGACTTGTTTTGGAACCTATCATATCATCTATCTTGGAGAATGTTTCATGTGCTGATGAAAAGATGTTTATTTTGCAGTTGTTGGGGAGAATATTCTGTAAATAGTGGCTAAGTTCATTTGTTTTGGGTTATAGTGTAAGCCCCATTGTTTCTTTGTTGACTTTCTGTCTTGAGGGCCTGTCTAGTGCTGTCAGTGGAGTGTTCAATCCCCACATTTTTATTATGTTGCCATCTATCTAATTTCTTAGGTCAGGCAGTAATTGTTATAAATTTGGGAGCTTTAGTGTTAGGTGCACATTTATTTAGGATTGTGATATTTTCCTGTTGGACTAATATTTTATCATATAATGTCCCTCTTTGTCTTTTTTAACTGTTGTTGCTTTAAAGTCTCTTTTGTCTAATATAAGAATAGCTAATAATCCTGCTTTCTTTTGGTGTCCCTTTGCATAGAATAACATTTTCCACCCATTTACCTTAAGTTTATGTGAATCCTTATGTGTTAGGTGAGTTTCTTGAGGCCAGCAGATATGCAGTTGATAGATTCCTATCCATTCTGCCACTCTGTATCTTTTAAGTGGAACATTTAGGTCATTTACATTTAACATTAGTATTGAGATAAGAGGTGCTACTCTATTCATCATGCTAGTTGTTGCCTGAATATCTTGTTTTTTTTGTTTTATTCTTTGTGTTATGATTTTATAGGCCCTGTGAAATTTATCTTTAAGGAGGCTCTATTTTGGTGCATTTTAAGGTTTGTTTCAAGATTTAGAACTCCTTTTATCATTTCCTATAGTGTTGGCTTGGTAGTGGCAAATACTCTCAGCATTTATTTGTCTAAAAAAGACTTTATTGCTCCTTCATTTATGAAGCTTAGTTTTGCTGGATACAACATTCTTTGTTTGTTTGTTGTTAATTATTTTGTTTGAAGAGGCTGAACATAAAACTCCAATCTTTTCTGGCTTGTAGGATTTCTACTGAGAAATTTGCTGTTAATCTGATAGGTTTTGCTTTATAGCTTACCCAAAACTTTTGCCTCACAGTTCTTAAGATTTTTTCTTTTGTTTTGACTTTAGATAACTTTATCACTATGTTCCTGGGTGATGATCTTTTTGTGATAAATTTCTCAGGTTTTCATTGATCTTCTTGTATTTGATGTCTAGATTTCTAGCAAGGCCAGGGAAGTTTCCCTCGATGATTTCATCCAGCATCTTTTTTTTTTTTTTAAAGAAAGGAAGAGAAAGAGAAAATGGGGAGAGAGAACAGGAGTCTTGCTCTATTGCCCAGGCTGGAATGCAATCTAGAAATAGGTATTAGAAACCTCTTTTATGCTGATGATTGTGCTTAACAGCAGAGACAGGAAGGAATAAGAAAAGAAAATAACAAACAGCCAACCAATATTTCATTTAAATCTGTGAAATGCTGTGCAAATGCTGAAGAGTGATTTGCTTCCATTTATGTGGTCACTTTCAAAATAGGTGTAATGTCATACTACAAAAAAATGTATGTTCTGTGGACCTGGGGTGTAGAATTCTATAAATATTCACTGAGTTTACTTGTTCGAGGTCTGAGTTCAAATCATAAATGTCTCTGTTAATTTTCTATCTAATTGATTTGTCGAATATTAACAATGTGGTGTCAAAGTCTCCCACTATTAGTAAGGGAGTCCAAGTCTCTTTATAAGTCATTGAAAACTTGTCTTATATATCTGGGTGCCCCTATATTGGGTACATATATATTTATGATCATTGACTCCTATTGTTGCATTGATCTTTTTATCATTATGTAATGTCCTTCTTTGTTTCTTTTAGTCTTGGTTACTATTGTAGTCTATTTTGTCAGAGACGAAAGTTACAACTCCTGTTTTTTTTGTTTGTTTGTTTTGTTTTTCTTTCCTCTCCATTTGATTGGTGAGTCTTCCTCCAACCTTTTGTTTTGAGTCTTTGTTGTCCTTGCTTATGAGATGGATCTGGATACAGAGTGCCGATGTGTTTTGACTTTTTAATTCAGTTTATGTGTCTGTGTCTTTGATTGGGGCATCTAATTCATTTAAATTCAGGATTAATATTGATATTTGTGAGTTTAATATTGTCATTTAATGCTGGCTGGCTATTTTGCCCATTAGTTGATATAAATACTTCATTATGGAGATACTCTTTATCTTTTGGTAAGTTTTTGGGATGACTGATACTGGTTGTTCCTTTCTGTGTGTAGTGCTTCTTTCAGAAGCTCTTATAAAGCAGGCCTGGTGGTGATGAAATCTCTGAGTGCTTGCTTGTTCGTGAAAAATTTTATTTTTCCTTCATTTATAAAGCTTAGTTTGGCTGGATATGAGATTCTGGGTTGAAAATTCTTTTCTTTGAGGATATTGAATATTAACCCCACTCTCTTCTAGCTTGTAGGGTTTCTGCTAAGAGATCTGCTGTAAGTCTGATAGGCTTCCCTTTATGGGTAACCTGACCTTTCTCTCTAGCTGCCCTTAGAATTTTCTCTTTTATTTCAACCCTGGTGAATCTAACAATTATGTGTCTTGGGGTTGCTCTACTTGAGGAATATCTTTGTGGTGTTCTCTGTATTATGTGGAGATGAGTATTGTCCCACCTTACTAGGTTAGGGAAGTTTTCCTGAATAATATCCTGAAGAATACTTTCCAGCTTGGATTCATTCTCTTCATGACATTCAGGTACACCTATCAAACGTAAATTAGGTCTTTCCACATAGACCCATATTTCCTGGAGGCTTTGCTCATTCCTTTTTACTTTTACTTCTCTAATCTTGTCTTCTCATTTCATTTCATTAAGTTGGTCTTCGACCTCTGATATCCTTTCTTCTGCTTGATCAATTCGAGTGTTAAAACGTGTGCATACTTCTCAGAGTTCTCGTATAGCATTCTTCAGTTCCATTAATTCACTTATATTCTTCTCTAAATTGTCTATTCTCGTTAGAATTTTGTCAAATCTTTTTTCAAAGTTCTTAGTTTCTTTACATTGGGCTAGAACATGTTCTTTTAACTCACAGAAGTTTCTTATTATCCATCTTCTGAAGCCTAATTCTGTTATTGGAATGCGCTCATTTTCCATCAGGCCTTGTTCCCCTGTTGATGAGGAACTGTGATCCTCTTTAGAGGGAGAGGCATTCTGATTTTGAGTATTCTCAGCCTTTTTACGCTGGTTTCTTACCATTGTTGTAAATTTATCCACCTGTCGTCTTTGTAATTACCAACTTTTAAATTAGGTCTCTTAGTGGACGTCCAACTTGTTAATTCCCAGGGTTGAAATGTGAGCAACCCACTGCGCTGGCTAAAACAGCGGCATCAAGATTCTTGGTGCTCTTCTGTCTGGGAGTCTCCCGTCTGGCTTCCCTCCTGAATCCCTTCTTCAATCAGCTCCAAACATCAGCCAAAAGGGGAACCAGTCCCGTTTACTCTGCACCAAGAACTGCTGCGCTGGGGCACCGGCAAAACCGCAGAGCCGGCTGCAAGAGACATGCTGGCGACCTGCAGGGCTCCTCTGCTGGGAATCTCCTAGTCCTTGTGCAAGAAAGATTCGTCTGAAAGTGTGGTGTCCTCTTGTTCTCTGTGCTTTCACTGGGAGCAACAAGCCTGAGCTGCTAGTGGTCAGCCATCTTGGATCTCTCCTCATCCAGGATCTTTTCCAAACTTTTAGATTTTTCTTCTGCCTCAGAATACCAATTGTTCTTAGGTTTGGCCATTTAACATAATTTCAAATTTCTTGGAGGCTTTATTTATTTTAAGACAGAGTCTTACTCTATCACCCAGGCTTTAGAGCAGTGCTTTGATCTTGGCTCACTGCAACATCTGCCTCCCAGGTTCAAGCAATTCTCATGCCTCAGCCACCTGAGTAGCTGGAATTCCAGGCATGTGCCACCACACCCAGCTATGTTTTATATTTTTAGTAGAGACAGTTTTGCCATGTTGACCAGGCTGGTCTTGAACTCCTAAGCTCAAGTGATCTGCCTGTCTCAGCCTCCCAAAGTACTAGGACTATGGGCATGACCTACCACATCTAGCCTTTTTTAAAGATTATTTTTGTTTGTCTTTGTCTGATTGGGTTAATTCAAAAGCCTTGTCTCCAAGCTCTGAAGTTCTTTCTTCTACTTGTTAGATTCTATTGTTGAAACTTTCCAGTACATTTTGTATTTTTCTAAGTATATCTTTCATTTCCAGAAGTTGTGATTGTTTTCTTTTTCTCTGGAGCATTTTTCATCCATATCCTATATTGTCTTTAAATCTCTTTATGTTGCTTTTCACCTTTCCCTGCTATCTCTTTGAGAAGCTTAATAATCAACATTCTGAATTTTTTATCAGGTAATTCAGAGATTTATTCTTGGTTAGGATCCACTGTTGCAGAGCTAGTGTCGTCTTTTGGCGGTGTTACAGAAACTTGTTTTGTCATATTACCAATGTTACTTTTCTGATTCCTTCTCATTTGTGTAGTCTATTTCAGTGGAAAAGTCTGGAACTCAATGATTGCTGTTCAGATTCTTTTTTCCCATGGGCTGGTCTCTTGATGTAGTATACTCTCCCTTCCCCTACAGATGGGTCTTCCTGCAAGCCTGACTGCAGCGATTGTTGTTGCTCTTCTGGGTCTAGCCAACCAGCAGAGCTACCAGGCTCTGGGCTGGTGCTGAGGAATGTCTGCAAAGAGTCCTATGATGTGATCCATCTTCAGGTCTACCAGCCATGGAACCAGCACCTGCTCTGGTGTAAGTGGCAGGGAAGTGAAGTAGACTGACAGAGTCCTTGGTTGTAGATATGTTTAGTGCGTTGGCTTTCTTGGATGCTGATTCTGCTAGCAGTAAAGTTGTCATGTAGACAGATTCAGGACCACTGGTTAGCCAGGATGTTGTAGGTAGTAGAATTAGCTGTTGTTTTCTCCTTCCTTGGAGCAGGGTTGTTCTGCCATGAGTTGCTGTAATGTCCTGAGTTGGTGATTGGCCTCCAGCCAGGAGGTGGTGTTTGCAAGAGAGTGCCAGAGATTTTTGCATGTCTTGCGGAATTTGCAGTGGCCAGCTGTTTCTTTCAAAGGATCTGTGAATTATTTTGATTTTCCTAGTCTGCTCCTGTGTTGCTTCCTGGAACAAAAGTTGATAGTGTGAGTCTCCACATGCTATTCTGTCCTGTCCAAGTGCGAGCTGCACGTCAGCCCTGTCCCTATCCACCATCTTCCTAGAACTGCCCTACAACTTGCTTCCATGAATCTTGAAAAAATCTTGGCCTAACTCACAACATGAAGCATGTTTGTTACCTATCTTTTCCTAGCCTGTTTCTCACATTAAACATACATTTGTCATGAAACAGAGATTCTGAATGTTTTTCTTGTAAATTGTTATTAATGAGCAGATCTATTTAAGTAAAAATATTCTGAATTCTTATATAGAATTTCAGAAAACAAAAAATTCAGTGTCCTGCTTAGAAGCAACTCTTATTTTTTTAATGTCTTTTCTACAATAACTCTGAAACTCAAGAGGTGAAGAAGACATGTTCTATCTTGACAGTCCTGTTGGTTGTTGAGATTAGGAAAGCCTTGAATGTCACCTGAAATTATACTCTACATTTGTTAATATTAGAAAAGCATTGTTTTTTCCATTTACATTTTCCTTCTGCCACAGCCTCAGGTTAAAGCAGTAACATAAGTTTAATTATGTTAACTGAAATAAGCCAGTCACAGAAGGACAAATACTGCATGATTCCATGCATACATATGAGGTAGGTAAAACAGTCAAACTCATAGAAATGGAGAGTGGAATGTTGGCTGCCAGTGGAAAGGAGAAATGGGGAGGTGCTGTTCAACAGATATAGTTTTAGTTGTTCAAGGTGAGTAAGTTCTAGAGATCTGCTGTATATTGTGCCCTTAGTTAACCACACTGCATTGTACCCTAAACATTTTGCTGAAGTTAGATCTCATGTTACATGTTCTCACCATCAATCAATCAATCAATCAATCAATCACAGAATGGGGCAGAAGGTGATCTGGATCTTCCTGTATATTTAAACTTTACTTATGAATGGGGCAGACACTGAGAGTGAGCATTTATAATTCAGATATTACGTAACTTTTTAGAGTGCTGAATATGTGCCATCAAAAATGTGCAGGGTGATAGGCCCTGACAGATGTTAAACATTCTTTCTCATCAGAATCATGAATCTTTGTTCCATGAATCATGAAAAAAAGACTGCCTAAGATCTTTGAAATGAATATGCAACAGAAAACAAATTTATCACAATCAAAAAGTGACTCAAAGGAAATAAACTTCTAGAAGGGAAAAAATAAAAGCTGCTGCCAGACTGCATGCCACACCCATAAACTGTTGCACAGCTGTTACTATCTCCCATGATGATATATTGCCAAACCTAAAACCAAGGTATTCCCAGGGTGATATGCCAAATTCCTTACCCAGGCATTCCTATAGATTCTGTGCATTACGAAAAAGAGGAAACTTGGTTTCTCTCCAAGGACAAAGAGTTTGTAGAAAAGAGAAATTTTTAAGGTATGTGTCTGCTGCCAGAGCTCTAGGCAGAGGTAGTATCCTTGGGAATTCTTGACCTTCCAAAAGACTCTTTGGGATTGTGTTGACAGCTTATCTTCAGAACACAAAGGGAGTGTCTGGGAAATACAAAAACCATCAATAAGTAGCTATTGAGAAAATGAAAAATGTGGTAACAAAATGGAGTAATTTTGTTCAGAAGATCTAAAGTTTGCTTTTACTCCATAGAGTGTATAAAAACAGTGTAAATTAAATTCTCAGGCAATCACTAGACGACTTCTTTTTGCATTCTCTGAACGAGTTGTGAATTTCAGGTACAGTATATACCAGTCAGTCCCACAATTTGCATCAGAATTATTTGATGAATATTCTTGTTACCTTGTGAAGCTAAGAAAGATAATTTATATTTCAGTTGCAAACAAGTGTGCAGAAATGGATGGATCCTACAATAACACCACAACCATAGATATTTGAGCTACCTCACTGAACAAATCTTTATTAAGCTTAATATCTGTTATGTGTCATGTTCTGTGATAAACAATGGGGGCCCACAGATAAATAAAATATTAGCCCTTCCTTATGGGTCTTATTCCCTAGTGAAGAGGAATTCCAGAGTTTAAATGTAATAAATGGATTGTTTTCAATTCTATAATGGAGATATAGGGAAGGCTTCTGACTCACATACTCAACTGCTTTCTTGGAAATATGCCACATGGTTATGACTATAGTCTTAAGATTCACACTGAGTTGGACTTGCATCTCAACTCCACCTCTTACAAACTGAGTGACTTGGCACGTTATGCAGTTTCTATGAGCTTCTGTTTTATTGACTTTAAAATGAGGACAAAAATCATAGTTACTTCACAGGTTGTTGTGAGAAGTAGTTGAGACCATACATGTAAAAAAAAAACCTTGCACAGAGTAAACCTCCAGTAAATATTAGCTCAGATTATTACTGTATTCCAGGCTAACACTTGGGTGTGCAGAGATGAATAATTTACAATCACTGCCATTAAGGATCTTGCAAGAGTAAGAGACATCCCCCTCTGTAAATAGCTCTATTCAGAGAGATTCCATTGTTCTCTCCTTTAAGAAAACATTGAGTATTTCTCTTTGCCACATCATGATCTTTGATGAGAATCTTACATTTTATAGGCACCTTACAAAAAATATGATATATAATAAATTATGAAATTCTGTCTTATATTAATACAATTATAAATAAATGATAAAACATATATACAGCCTTATATATAATGGCCCTAATTAGCTGAGATAAGACAGAGGAGGAATAGTATGAATTCCTAAATTTTCTCTTCAGATATAAAGTTTCATTTCTTTCTTTCTTTGTTTAGTTTAGTAGTGAGGTAAAACATACATACTATACAGTATGCAAGTCTTTTATGTACAGTTCAATAAGTTTTACTTATGTGCACACCTACTGACCACTTCCCAGATCAAACACCCTTTCACATGCCCCCTTCCAATCATTACTTCCTCACCAAATGGAACCACTCTTTTGATATCTATCTATCTATCTATCTATCTATCTATCTATCTATCTATCTATCTTTCCAGTTTCAGAATGTTATGTAAGTAGAATCAAATATGTACACATTTATCTCTGCTCTCTCATTCAACATTATGTGATATCCATTCAGGTTGCAGGTTGTAGCACTCTTCTTTTTCATTATGTCAGATTCTTTTGGTGATTTTCTATGGGCACGTTAATTTTATCTACATATAATACCAGTTGTAGTTTTTTCTACACTTCTGATCCTTATTTATTTTTTTTTCTTATCTTATTGCACTGGATAGAACATTCAGTATAATAGTAAATAGAAGAAGTAAAAGCAAGACATTCTTATTCTCAGTTATAGAAAGAAAGCTTCTAGTTATTTATTTTAATATTTATTGCCATTAAATATTATTTTTGTATAGATTTGTGGTAAGTACTCTGGCACATTAAGAATACCAACTATTTTATTCTGAAGCATTCTTATCCTTACGAAATCCTTTTTAAAAATCTGTTGTGATAGGCCAGGAATGGTGGCTCACACCTGTAATCCCAGCACTTTGGGAGGCCAAGGCAGGTGGATCACAAGGTTAAGAGATTGTGACCATCCTGGCCAACATGGTGAAACCCTGTCTCTACTAAAAATACAAAAATTAGCTGGGAATGGTGGTACATGCCTGTAGTTCCAGCTACTCAGGAGGCTGAGGCAGGAGAATCACTCAAACCCGGAGTCAGAGGTTGCAATGAGCCAAGATCATGCCACTGCACTCCAGTCTGGCAACAGAGCAAGACTCCATCTCAAAAAAAAGAATCTGTTGTAATCACCATATTAGATTCTCTCCCACTTTTTTTAGAATAATAAATAATATTTATTTCTTTTTCTATTATTACATCAATTTTGTACAGCTGGAATAAAGCCTACCTGGACACAATGTATAGTTCTTTTTTTGTATTCCTTGGTAGCATTTACTAATTTTTTATTTTAAAATTTTGCATCTATTTTAAAGAGAGATCTTGGCTATTACCACCAATAAATTTTAATAATGTCCTCTGGTGTTAAGGTCATGCTGGCCTTATAAAATGAACCACAGCAGTTCTTAGAGGGAAATTTATAGGTCAAAATGCAAAATTATATAGAAATTTATAGATCAAATGAAATTTATAGGTCAAAATATCTACATATATCAGAACAGAATAAAGCCTGAAAATCAAAGATGTAAATGACCATATAAGGAACTAGCAAATAAACACATATTTAAAGTCATAGAAGAAATAAAATATTTAAGAGATGTAATCTATGAAACAGAAAACAAAATAAAGTAGAAACATAAAGTGGGCCAAAGTTTACTCTTGAAAAACAATAAAATTGATAAACCTCTATAAAGAGTGATAGGAACAAAATAGAACAATGTCACAAATTATTATAATATGAAAATAAAAGAGAATATTCCTACAAAGTACACTTTTAAAAAATATAAATATATAATTTTAAATATTATACCAATAATTTTAAAATTCAGAAGAAATGGACAAATTCCTTTTTAAAATTATCAAAATTGATGAAATAATCTAATTTTTTCATATTGTTGATGAATTGACTATAAATCTAAAATTTTCTTGCAAAGAGTATTTCATGCCTAGATAAATCCTCTGGTGAATTTATTGCAAACATATAAAAAAGAAATCACACTATAGAAGAGTCAGCCATAATTTTAATGTTGCTCCTTTAAAAGTCATGTATATTTTTTCCCATAGATGCTTTTAAGATTTGCTCTTTGTTTTTAGCTTTCAACAGTTTTACTATGATGTGTCTAGGTATGATGTTCTTTGATTCGCTCTGCTTTTGATTCATAGATATGCTTGAATCAGCGGACTTCCAACAATTTTGGATAATTCTAGGCTATGATCTCTTCAGAGAATCTTCTCTCCCTTTCTATCTCATTTCTTTTTCTGGACTCCAATTACACATAAGTTTAATCTTTTTACTGTGTACCTTATATCTCCTATGGTTTTAAAGTAACTCTCTGTGTTTCTTGTCTCTCTTTGTCTCTGTCCTTTTCTTTCTCTCCTT